CAAAAAATATACTAAATAGTTACCTATATGAATAATGCCATATCATTTTAATTAAAACCAATCACAAAGAAAAGAAGACCGTTTAATTACAATACAAAAATAAAAATTCCGTCCGTTTCCGTTTAAAATCCCCAACTATCATCAAATTCCTAATCCCCAAAAGGCCGGCAACGTACTTGTAACGCCACCGTTGTTCCTGTGTCTATGGGCGACGCCAATTACATCAGGTGATGCGTTCATCGTCCGATCTCCTCGTTTACCGGCTTATCCCATAAAGAAAACAATAACAATACAACCTATTTATAAAACTGTTCACTCCCGTGTTACGTGATTCTGAGCCATTTTTATATAAAACGCACCTATCCTGTACTCGTAGCGATAAGATAATCGGATTTACTATTATATATCAAGGATTTGTAATTCGCGAGTAGTAGGCTGCTGTATTTTTGTTTTATAAACAATACAAGCTTTAGTTACAGAATTTCCTTACTGTTACACAAGTTTGTACCTATGTATATTTTTAGGGAATAAATAAAATGTATATATTTTTAGTGATTTCATAAAAAAATTACTACTTTCAAATAAAGGTAAACTAGATGATATAGTAACAAAAAATACATGGATCTGAGATCATATTTGATGACGCACTGCCTACCAAAATTAGGGTATGTAAATAATATGGTACATATTACTTTTTCAGTAAATAAACCAAAGCAGATAATTAACAATTTCTCAGAGAGATCAAAATACTTAGTATTGTTGGTTAACTAGAAAAGTAAGGATTCGTCGAGACAGGTCGCAAGCGCAGGTCACCGGTAATTTTCCTGCGCATGAGTGCATTACACCCAGACGTACAAAGTGCGGCGCTCCAGACGACGCGACCTACTTGTCGTTAGGTAAACATTATATACGATCTTATAAACAACACCAAGGATGTCTCCGGGCGGCGCGCGCGCAGGTCTCTGTGCTTAGTTTGCTCACGTGACGATTCCTTGAAGTTCTACTGATAGTTGTTTTAGGTATCTTGATAATGATTATTTTATATTAAGTTTGGTACGATACGAGGGAAATACTTTCTTTTTCGAAATATTGTATTATGTTTATCAATAACATTATCTTTTTTAAATAAGTAGATAAATATAGTAAATTATACGATACGATACGTGTAAACAATACCTAAGGTGAAAATAGTATGCTAACTTAGCATTTTAACCTTATTAACTAAGAAAAACTAATGGCATAGAAAAACAAAGAATACACTTATAATTACGGTTAAGACAAACAATGTGTATTCAGTAGGTACTACTAGCAAACTAACAAAGGGTTAGCAGTTAACAACATAGCAAGTATAATAATATAAGCCTGCTCAGTTAAATTACGTTCACGGAAGAGTAAACAAAAAACCGTAGACGCTACGCCGTAGCACCGTAGCGGCGTAGACCGTAGACCTGTTTAAAAGGTTTCTAATTTTTGAATTTTTTATTGCATTTAAAAAGGTGAGATTTTTTCAAATATCTATTGGTGGCGAATTGTGATCACATACTTCTTTCATAAACTACGTTTAAAAAACTCCTATTTTTTGAAATCGATTATACTAAAACCTTCTACTTAGTAACAAACACTTTTCTTAAAACCAGATTAAAACTGGTTCAGCCAGTCGCGAGATAATCTATTATAAATTTAAGTGTGGGAGAGCCATGCTTCGGCATGAATGGGCCGGCTCGACCGGAGTGATACCACTGCCTCACAGAAAACCGACGTGAAGCAACGCTCGCGTTGTGTTTCGTCGTGTGAGTGAGGTTACCGGAGGCCCAATTACCCTCCCCTTCCCTAATCTCCCCAATCCCTGAATCCCCATCCCCAACGATCCTCAAACTCCTAATCCCCAAAAAGCCGGTGACGCACTTGTAACGCCTCTGGTATTCCAGGTGTCCATAACGCCGATTCCTTACCATCAGGTGATCCGTCTGCTCGTTTACCGCCTTATACCATAAAAAAGAAAGTTTTTGAAATCGGTTAAAAATTCAATAAAAGTTTAGTCGATCTGGGGTCAAATCCGAGATCAAACTCGGTGATCACTGATCAGTCCATGATAAATATAATTAAAAGAAGCAACGCTTGTACGCAATGCACATCATGTCGTCTATGCGTGTTTCCGCATACCTTTGGACGGAATAAAACATTTTTATCAAATTAAACTTAATAATGTCTGCACGTTAATTAAGTATCTTACTTCGATAATAATGTCGCCGTGTGAAAAGGTCGAGATTGGCATTAATTATGATATTATTTCAATAATTATTGGGTCATTTATCTTGGGCTATGAAAGATGAAATATTATGATTTAATATAATGAGGTATGTATTAAAATAGATTCTAGAAATCATAATACCTAGACGTGGTTTATTTGGGTGGTCAGTTTATTTATCTTGTTAGACCAGACTAGACATAAATATGATAACGTAACATATGACATCATGGCTTTTATTTAGACAAAGGCGAGCGAAATTACCAAGAAATCTTATATGATGAATAGACAGGAGTATAAAGCAGCGCTGCACCATACACAATTCCTCAATGAAACGGAACATAAATTAGGGTTATGGTATTTGAATGAAATAATCTATATTGAGACAGGAAACCAACGGGAAAAGCATAGCATAATAGTTTACTTAAAACATCATAATATGGCTCATCTTTTATCAGAAAAGAGGAAAAAAGATATGACATAAAATAACATCACGCCTTTTATCCCCGAAGAGGTAGGCAGAGGTGCACTTTATGCCACTGTACAATGTAACCCCCACTTTTCGCTATTTATGTTATGAGTCCCATGTAATAGGGGTGAGCCTATTGCCATATACCGGGCACAGTCCCAGACTCCGTGCTACTACTGAGAATTAAAACCCAGTAATACTTTGCCCGACCCGGGAATCGAACCCAAGACCCACTTACGACCACTCGGCCAACAAAGCAAAAAAAACACGAAAAAACGATATCAATATTCAGAATTCCGCGGTACTATAATACGGCAATCCAGATTAACATGTTTTTAAGTCATGTGATAGAAAAGTCAAGTAATTAATACGAAAATATTACGCAACGTTGTCCACTAATTATTGTAAGCAGGTTCATAGGTCAGCAGTAACTGGAGTTAAGATAACGGTGTAGTTTGGTTGCTGCGTATCCGGGATGGGTAGGAGTGAACTTCGATCGCTCCGGCCCACGGGCTATGTCGCAATTAGTGTTGGTATTTATTCAATTTGTTATTACATTTTGATTGATTTGTTTAGATTTTATAAAGGGAGCCAAAGGGAGCGGTGTTTATTAATAACATAAGATAACGTTTGCGACTGTTTTTCTTGAAGTAGTATGTGTTTGTGTAGGTTATGCTTAGTAGTATTGTATAATATGGCCGTAAACATACGTACCTGTCGCGGAGAACCTAACGGGTTATCGGGGCTTCGGCTCGAAGTGCAGGAGAAGAAACGGGGTGGTTTTTAGTCAGTAAGAGTCTGACACTCGCTCCCGCCTCACCCAGGTGGGAGAAGTCATTCAATGATTTTTCCCCCTTAACTCGTCGAGTACCGGTTTTATAGACACAATTAAAGAACAATAGGTCGCGGTCACCGGTGACCGCTCGGTGTTTGACAGATTAAACAAAAACATAAGTACCTATAGTTCTTCCAATGCTTACATTATCCATTATGAAAATCAAAATGTTACTTGGATAGATTAAAGTTTGTCAAATTCTAAAAGACAAACAGATAGACAGGTGGGACAGCTTTTTATCAATAAGCGATTCCCGATTACGCCCAATAGTCTAAAGTTGCGTGTGGCTAAGCATGGTACTTACCTTTTTATTATACCTTTTATAGCCGATATAATTTTGTTCTAATAATATCTTTGGATCTTTTAACGAGGTTCAGTTTGGCATCCGTCTGTCGATTCGCAATTTTATCAATGTAATGCACCTTTAGAAAAAATTTGAGGAATCGGAACATTGATTTGCTATCGCCGATTCACACACTGACCTAGTTACATACACGAAATAGACTTTCAATAATAGGGGTCACAATAGCTATTGACGCCATTGTCGATGTCTCATCAACTTCTACCACGTTAAATTACGCACGACACGTAAACACAATACTTTTCTGCTATCCCTTTTAACGCCATACGTATAGAAAAAGACACGCAATATTGTGGATTTTCTAAAGGTTCTCGTGGTAAAGGGTAATTGTTAACTATTGACTTGCAGTTTTTGATAATTTTTGGTGATGAATCTTTAGTAGTTGCAAAACTTTAGTGGAGGTAGGACGCTGAAAAATTCAACTGAGAATCTTTTGCGTTTGAATAATTTAGTTTACTTATGGTACGTTCTTAATAGCTTTAGTGATATGAGTGATGCCCAAACATGTCCTCATGCAGCGCGATCCAGAGCACCGATCAATGAAGTGGGTGCAAGATGGTGGGAAGTGTACGGCAACCAAGATCAACAAACGGAATGCTACGTACAGCACGAAGCAAAAGATTCACTTGACAATAACAGTAGTAAAAATGCCGACGACAACAATTCATTCAATACCAATAATTTAAAAGTACAAAGAGCATTAACTTCAAAACTCTATTCCAACTTTATTGGTAGAACAGTGACTAATGTTGATCCTAAAGGTAAAGTATTGAAAAAATGGAGGGAAGACCAAGCGAAAGCAACGTACGAACAAGCTAGGCGAGCAGTTATTAATTCACTGAAAGAAAAATTCGGATGTCCACCGAAAGAAGGCAATATACCCTCTGTGCTCAATGACAATAAAGGGGATAATACTAAAGCAATACCTACGATTATAATAACTGGAGACAATGTCGAAGAAACATCAAATTCGAATGTAAATCGTGACGCTGGGGGTTGGAAGGAAATTGATTCCAGTTTAGTGAAAGATAAGGTTGAAATTTGGAATGCAAGAGCTGAGGATGTCAGTCACGCGAGGAGGCTTCAGATGGGGCCAGGTGGTGAGCTGGCACAGTGGAGGCTTGTTCCTCGTGGCAGTAGGGCGGCGGGCGCGGAGGGCGGACTACGCGGGCTTACGAGGATCGACATGCCGGTAAGTTACTGCACTTTTCTTATACAAACATTAATGATGATTAACGCATACTTATAATATATAAAATAGTTTTGACTTAAAACCATTGATGAGAGTGATAGAACTTACTTTCAAATGCTAATTTTGTATTAACTATCCGTTCATAATTAAAATGCTAAATGTGACGAATTTTCATTAAAAAGATCCTAAATGAAACTTTACTCTTGAATCTTTAAAATGGCTCGGTGTTAAAACTAGACAAACAAAACTATCCTATACGTATAAATTTCCTATAAAACAAGGACGTTATCGAGTATAAATTGAAGACAGTACATTGGCTCGACTAGTGCGATGCAGGGAATAACCGATAGTCATGCCATCACGTAGTAATCGGGAATCGGGATCTACCCTGAGTTTTTGTACAAGGAAGAACTATGTATGGATTTATTACGATGGCTTTCTGAAATACATGGATTTTATTTTATAGGTTTTAGTAACGTTACGTGGATTATATGGATAGGATATTATTTTATTACCTACACACCTAATAAGTTGGCTGACTGTACATTTCATGTACATTATGAGTTGTTTTATTTGGTAATTTCATTAATCAAAAATAAATTATTTCGACAGTTCAATAGAATATTAAAAAATAATCACACATTCATTAATTGATTAGCGCCTAGCTTCATTGACGGACAGACTGACAGACTATTATTTATTTCATATTTGTTGACGTTTCAAAGTACCAAATTATGGTTTAATTAAAATAATTGCTTTTGAGTTTGAGTTTGAGAGTTTGATTTTATGACCGACTTAATATTAGTATTTTTCCAGCTATTTTTAAAGAAATAAGTATGCTGTTTGACGCTAAAAAAACGTGACGTCACAATACACAACCTCGTAAAAAATTCACAGAAAACTGTAGTTTTTGACAGTTCGAAAAAAGTATTGAATTTTACAAGTTGGCCCAAGTACCCAATTAAATGGGTGTGGTTATCACACCCACCGTAACTACAGCAACAAGATAAAACTATTAGCATCATAAACTTTATCTCATGTTTTTACTCCGTTTATGGTAGTAAGTACTACTAACTACTTGAAATATGATTATATGGCTATCAGGCAATATGATGATGACTTTAAACATACGATGATCACACTATAATATAATAAATGTGAAAATTTCTTTCTTTGGATGTTTGTGTGTTTGTTCGTCAATCACGCTGAAACTACTAAAGAGATTTTGATGAAACTTGGTATACAGGGAGGGTATTAGCTGACTTAGGTGATAAGATACTTTTAATCCCGATTAAATACTCCCATGGGATAAAACAGGAATCATATTCTACGCAGACGAAGTCACGGGCAACGGCTGGTTGATAATATACTTCGATCAACAATAGCAACTAGATAAAGGGTTACGTACAAAATCAAGCTTCAGTTCTGTCCGTGTGAATAATAATAGTAAAAAAATAACAAACTGAGAAAAATGTTTTAATATAGTTTTAAGTTCAACCTAATAACAACCATGGCACCTAATAATAAAGTCATAAATCGTCAAAATATTATCTAATACTTACGACCATTCGTCACATAAGACGAGAAAAGCATTTACTTACTCCTGTCATGTAGAAATTAAAAGACATAAGTTATAAAATATCTAGTTTGATTTCAACCTTAAGTTAGAACAAATAAAGATAATTTTTCCGTTATTGCCTTGTGATCTATATCGTTTTGTTTTGTTTCGTTTTGCTTCTTCGAATTTTGAATTTCGCTACAGGAGGTATGTATGGAGTCGTGTTGAACACTAAAATAATTTTATTTTCGGGATCTTAGTATACATCACTTATTTTTATTAGCGGTACGTTTTTGTGTATCATATGTTTATTAACTTTGTCATTAAAAGTCTAAGTCAAAATCATTTATTTCAGTTAAACCAGGAAGGCACTTTTGAACGTCAACAATATAAATTTAAAAGTGAAGCTATTTGCTCATTTTAAGGTGTAGATTCCTATGGAGAAGAACGAGCAAGAAACTTCATAGGTTAAGTACTCTTTTCCAATCAGGTTACAATATAAATTTGTTTTAAAATACAAATCGACTCCATTGCATTCACTGTTCTGTTTAAACAAATGTTTGTGCGCGTGTTGGCAAGGCTTGGCCAAGGGATCGCCAACACACGCACAAACATTGGTGGCGTTGGTTTATAATTGGTAATTTTGTCTAATTTGATATTATTTACTAATTTAAAAGCTTAAAATATAACTTATAATTTATTTACTTATCGAAAGTAAGACACTCCGGCCGTTATACTGCTTTTTCGGTTATTATTTTTGCAACTTGCAATTACGCACTGCAGCATCGTGAGACGTGATTACGTTGGCCATGTTTGGAGCATACTAAACAAAATAAGAGCTCACTTTTCAAGTGAGCTCTTATTTGTCGAGACGATTTTCTTGTGCCGACCCGATATCTAGTTGTTATTGTTGATCGAAGATAATATATTAAAATTGGAAACTAAATATTCGTTGAGTAAATCATCAAATGATTTCTCTCGCCTTGGACAAGGAAGTGTCAGGCTCTTACTGACTAAAAATCACCCCGTTTCTACTGCCGGAGTCGCGGTAATCTGCAGTTGTCCGCAGCCCCGGCTTGTCCACAGGCCCGGGCGTCCCAAGTCATGCCTGTGACCTCATGTTTGGCAATCGCTCTTGCAAACTCTCGACAAATATGACATCCATGGTTCTATTAGATTGACAGGGGTAACGATAAGTTTGTAACGACAAGCGTGGTGATTAATGCTCTAACCTTCTCCGTGTGAGAAGAGGCTTTGCTCAGCAGTGGGCATTTATAGGCTGTTGATGAACGATAAGTTTAACTTTATTGTCCCTTAATAAATTATTATGTTTTCAGCTTACTCACGTAATAATTTGACAAGGAACTCGACTAGTTTCAATCCATGTGTATGCGATATTGTATGTTTGTAAACGCACCCACGACACAGGAGAAAATCCTAGTGTGGGGCAACGTTTTTTTTTAAAAAAAAAAGCTTGGGTCTCATATTCATGAGCAGCATTTCGCGACCCGCGACGCGGCGACTGTCGCGCTGCTACTAGTAGCCTGAGCATGATGATCATGAGTCTCTAGCATGGCTTGAAACTAGTCGACTTCTTCGCCAAATTATTACGTGAGTAAGCCGAAAACATAAATATTTATTTTGTATGTCTCACGAAAGTTACAATCCTTTAATAAAGTCTATTTTAAAGAAACCACAAATGAGAGTGGGTTGATTTGCCAGTGTCTGTGTGTGTCTGTCTATACATTTTGTACATATTGTTTATTTCTGCGACAACAGTATTAATGTACTGTGGCCTCAATTACTTTATCACCAATTATCTTGGTCTAGATGAGCCATATCTCTAATTCTTTATCAGTCGTGTTTCAAAACGTGATAGACGGTGCTATAGACATATCCGTTTTATTTAAATAAATAGTTGAGATGTTTTTTGAAAGCCTATTTTTGTTTATAATTTTTACCCCTATATCTGATAGCAAGCATTGCACTGCTAGGTAGAAGGAAGTGTTTATATAATCGATAAACGATGAGACTGACAAAGAACTCTTATATCTTCTGATAATTCTAGTCCACAAGTATCCGAAAGATTAATAGATATTTTTGAAAGAAAGTTCTGTACTTCTAGAGGTACGGACAAGTTCGTATGATGATAGTTTCCTATAGTTACTTCTAATTTGTAAATGAAAGAGACATTTTTAGAGAAACCAACCTAACTTAACACTTCAGCCCATATCCGCTTTTGGGTCATAAAAGCAGCAAAATAATAAAGAAATATCTAGGCCAAGTTCCAAGTTTAATGAAACAATCTTGTATAAAAACGCAGTGATTACTTTTGACGCGATAGGGGTTGAAATGGCTTCATATCAGTTTCGCAATGTACTAATGTTCCGTTGGCACGTAATGGCCTGTGAAACGCGCAACTTTTCAAATGCTTTACTAAGGTCTACTACACCACGTATTGTGCGTGGTAGACTGAGACAGGACTGATAATCATAACATAACATATCATCACGCCTTTTATCCCCGAAGGGGTAGGCAGAGGTGCACATTATGCCACTGTACAATGTAACACCCACATTTCACTATTTATGTTATGAGTCCCATGTAATAGGGGGTGAGCCTATTGCCATATACGGGGCAAAATTCCAGACTCCGTGCAACTACTGAGATTTTTTTTAAAACCCACTAATACTTTGCCCGACCCGGGAATCGAACTCGAGACCCCTTGCCAGTCGCACTTGCCACCACTCGGCCAACGAGGCAGTCGACTGATTATGTCATTTGTTTTTCTTAGCAAATATGGGACTTTGTAGTCTAGATAATAAACCGTCGTATGTGACATTAAACTTATTTGATGTTGGATATTTTCTCAGTTCACAGAACAGTGAACTTACTTAGATTGCAACTTAGGTTGCAAGTCGATTGTCACACAGTGGTTATTTGAACAGGGATTAAAGAACAAAAGATTTCAATCTTGCCCTTATTTATTATATCTATGATCAAAACAGGAATATTTAATTCTTTCTTAAGTATTTTTATATCAAACAAACAGTCCTATATGTACGTCAAAATCATAGAAGTTGAAATTAATTGATTTCTATACCAATTATGTTAGATATATTCCTACGCGTATGTAATCTGATAGACTATAATTAGAAGTATATAATACATGTGACATCGTTCCTCTGAGTCCACAAACAATAATATTTATCTACGAAGGCGGTGGCCGTAAACGGTCAGTATTTTAGACTACGTGACCATTATAGCGTGGTCTGTTCAAGTTTAGCTGGAAGAGGCACGTCAGCATAGAATCATCAGCTAGCGCTAATTAAATAGGTACTAGGTTAAGTTGTCATACTTTGTTTTGTATACGTACTCTTTGGAACTTTAATATAATTATGGTTTTAAAATTCATTGTCTAAGGAGAGAGAAAGCGTGACTG